GCTGAGGGAGGAGAGTCTGGAGGAGCAATTGGCCAGTAGCATCAAATGGAAAGAACTGGGAAAGGATCACTGATGACTTTAGCAATAAATGTTTCAAGAGAATGGTGAATATGGGAAGCCAGCTTACAGTAGCTGGAGGCAAGACACCTTTTATGTTAACAAGGACCAGACCAGAGTATCAACGGAGGCAAACATACCACACGTCTAATATCTAAAAGCTGTGAACCAATAAGACAAACTGTTAAATACGTTCTACTGTCTGACAAATGTGCCTGTATAACCAAAGGAAAGGCCAGGCTTGAATTCTGAACTCTTGGATTCCTCAGAGTTCTGCTTTGGACTGTGGTAGTTTGGAGAGGGCAACCCCGGCCTCCCAGCCTACAGGAGCCCTATCTGGCTCCCACCCTACAACCTCCATACATAGGAACCCTGCAAACACACCATCTGTACGGCCACCCAGCCTGTCAGCCCAAATTCCACCCGTGCCTCTTTCCCTGCCAACAACCCCCATGGCTACCCCCTTGACCCTACAGTGTGGTCTGCCTTCGAGAGAGATGACCGGAGAAGCATCCCCAAAATAAAGGGTGAACAAAAGCATATTTACATGCGTGGAGGAAGAAACTAAGGTTGGGGGATAGCTGAGAGCTTGAAAAGTGAGTGATTGACAGAGCAAGTCCCTGTAGGAGACCCTTGGGGTCAGGATGCAGGGACAGAGAGAGGGCCTTGGCCTCCACGGGAAGGGAGGGAAATCATGGATACGGGGCGATTTGTCGGTGGAGAGGGAGTTTGCTAGAGCTCATGCTTTATGCTTTCATTTTTCTATGGAAACTAAGAAACAGTCCCTGTAGAGAGAAGGCAGTCAAGGTTGAGTCTCTGTGGAGAGAAAGGGCCTGAGGAGAGAAATCCTAACGAAAACGGTTGCTTTTCTTAGAAAAGTCTCCCCCGCAGTAGCAGGGAGATGGGCTCAGAGATGAGAGCAAGACCACCAAGTGGCCGTCAAGACCAAGCTAAGTCTGGAATAAAAAAAGATTCCAGGTTGCTACAAACTGCACGGCTGTGGGGTTTTTCTTGGCTCTGAAGGAACTGGAGACATAACGTTCACTACAAGGTAAACGCAAGATCTTGCTCGAAGGTGGTTTGGTGAACATTTAATGGGTAATTACGTGATCATTTTTGAGACTTTTCCTTAATATTAAGTCACAGAAAATGGAAACGGAAAGGCTCTCCTTCCTCTCCCCCCCAGCAAAACGGCTTGTTATAAGGGGCTCCAAGAGTGCATGCCTCATTTCCAAAGCCCAGGGTAAGGAAGAGATCTCCACTTCCCTTAGGAATTATTTCATATCCTAACAGTTATTGTAGCCAGGAAGCTTTTTTTTTTCTCCTCTTGATATTTCGTCCAAATTATATTCTTCTTGATTTCAACCTATTATAGTTAGTCATTTCCTCATGGTTAACTTAGGGTTCTCTATCCCTTCCTGGTGTTTGCACCTTCCAAATATTATGCCGACTTATCACCCAACCTGGCGATAACTGTTTAAAAATACACATTTTTGGTTTATGTATAGGATGATGGTTTTACATCCTATAAACACACTATACATGGATGTCTAGGGAGTCGAGAAAATACACTCTTGTGTGAGTGAAAATATGTCGGCCACATATACCTGATCTATGTAATTACAATCTTCATAATCATTCATTTTAGATTTGCCAACTTGCACATGTGGAAATGTTCAATTTGTAATGTGATTATAACACAAAAACAAAGCATGTTTGATACCTGTGGCTTGGTCGTTTCATGGTAAGTGCAGAAAATTCAAAAAACCGTGTTACATTTCACATTCCTGGCCAAGTCAAACTCTGAAAGTAGCTCTATAATTCTTGGGGAATCTCTTTAAGCAGACTTGTGTCAAGGCCAATTAGAATCCAAACAGCCTTTTTCTAATTGGGGTGAGGTATGCAGCTGAATAATTCTGTCATTAAGCAAACCCCTTATAAAGGTTACAACTCCAAGGCAAACCTCAGCCCCAGGGCTGAATAAACACAGGAGGGTAGGAGTGCGGCATTCCACGACTGGCACCTTCGCCCCAGAAGCCCTGGAGAGGGGGCTTTGGGATTTCTTTTTATGCTCTTGCCATCCACTTCTCCTTCCACCCTCTGCCTTTTCTCATACCTGGCAAAGATATAACAGAATTAAGCGGCACATGTAAATTCTCCATTAGCTTTCCCCTGTCAAGAAGCCATATTGTTTTTTCTTTGGGGGGATAAGAGTATCATTTGAGAATTTTACAAAACTGTTTCAGTTTAAGGGTAAGCCCTGTCTCCTGCGGCATTCTTGGCTTATCCCAATTTGAACTCTTCTCTGTCTTTTTCAGCTTTATTTCCTCCTACCTCTCCTTATGTCCAGGCACCATTCCCTACTACCCTTTATGGAAGACTTTGTGCAGTTTATCTATGTCTATTCATCTATCTATCTATCATCTATCTATCTATCTATGTATCTATGTATGTATCTATCTATCTATCACCTATGTAGCTATATCTTTGTTCCTGAGATTGCCTCTGATAGCAATACTCGGATGTTCATGAAACCCTGCACAGGCTTGAGAAGTTTGCTGCCCTGGTTCAGACCCAGACTCCACCAGTTATAGATGGTGTGATGTTCGGTAAGGCATTTAACTTCTCTAAGTCTCACTTTGCTCAACTGTAATAGGTTGACTTTAATGTTAACCTTACAGTTTATTTTGGGGGGTGAAATTAAATTAGCATATACTAAGTGCCTAATAATAATAATAATAATAATAATAATAATAAACTTCATCCTGTGGTATAGGTTGGGATCTCTGAGAAAGACTTTGAAATGGAGATTTGTATGCAGGAAGTTTATTATTCCAAGTTCTTGGAATCAGTCCCTTTGGAAGGGAAGAGGTAGGACCAGAGCAGGGGAGAAGAATGGAACTGTGATGCAGTTATAACAAAGACCTCAATCTATTTTGTGAAGTGCTTTGGAGCTAAGATGACCTTTAGAGTTGTCCCAAATTGTGTCAAGGGGCTGGTCTTTTATATCTGGCATCAACCAGTCATTGGATGAGGGCTGGTCCTGAGAAGGGAACATGGTCTTGGGTAAGGTGGCTCCTTTCATCTGAGGGCAATTTCCAGTATCTGAGGGACTGAATGGTTCGTACTGAAGTGGGAAATGGACATAGCACATCACAGCCTCCATAGAGACCACTCTTGGCATGGCTCAGATCCATTTTCTGGGAGTAGCTCCTTCATGATTCTGAAGGACATATTTTCCTGGAAAAACTGTAAGCAAGACGGACTACAGCTGCTACTGCTGAAGCTGGTATTGAGGCTGTAACAGATATTCCTCTTCTCCCCCCTCTATCACCCACTTCAAACCCGCTTAGTCTATATGCTGGTGTAGGTGAATTACCTTGTGAGGATGACTCAGGCTCTCATCTCTCAGAGGTCTGATCTTGTGGTCACCATGACTTTCTTGGTCTGTGCTTTTCCATTTACCATCAAAACTGATGAAGACATATCAAGAAACAGCAAAATAGAGCACATGAGTACCAAGCATATTCTTCCCGGCCTCCTCTGTGTGATGGCAGCTCTCCCTCTCCTGATGATCAGGGTTAATTATCCCTGCTAGCATCATCATCTCTTTCCTTGCTGCTGGTATCTTGATGTGACAAGCCCAAAGTGACTAGGCAGTAGCTGTGGCTTAAAGCCTAATGTAATGTTTCCTTGTGAAAGTACTTCCCTCTGGGAAGCAGGACTCTAAACCTGCAGGTATGGAAGGTACAAAAATCCCCAGGTCATTGAATCATTGTAGTGGGACCACTCCTATTTCTACTCCTTAGATTTTGAACTTAGGTATTCTGTGTATTAAATGCATCATTTCCAAGCTGGTCCCTTAACTATCCTCTTCCATCATTCTGTCAGGCCAGCTAGGTGGTGTAGCGTGGGATATGACCAGTGGGTCCCAGGGCCTTGTGCCCAGTGCCATGCTTCCTTTGCTGTAGAGTATCCTTCAGTCCAATGTGATGTTGTGTAGGATCTCGTGTTGGTAATGAGACTCTGCATGCCCTCAGCTCATGGTGCTCGTTGAAGCCCCCAAGCAAAAAAGGCAACTCCATAGTTAGAATATATGTTGAGTATAGGTTAAGTGGTCCAATATTAGCAGCTTTCCACCAAAACTATTTTCCTTGAAATATGGTACCATACAGAGGACTCAACGTTATTCTGCACTGATGGCACTTCGGACATTCGGCAGTGGTGGTCGTTAGATCAGCTTCAGTGAGGGAAAGCTTGTGCTCTCAGTCCCGTGCAGGCCTCCACCCTCCCATGCTTTTATTTCGTTCTTGCATGTATTGTGCAGGAACGGGTGCTGCCAATGACAGGAAGGGTGATGTCAGCTCACTGAGTCATTTTTTCTATATTGTTGTTTAAAGTCTCTTCTCTGCCAGATGCTGTCTTGTGAGTGACATTATGTGATACAAAGACCTTCGTATTCACGACCACTCACATTAGTCCATCCATATTCCTCTTCCCTAAACCTCCCTGTCCCTTACCTGCCATTCTTTCTCCATCAGGGTCCAGAATAACCAATCAAGTTAGTTACAAGGCTGTATACGTTGTTATCTGAACTACTAACTTTTTTAATACAAAGTGGGTGATCTGGTGTACAGGATGACCATGAATGCTGCCCAAAGCTCTTCTCACTGGACACACTTCCTGTCACCCATCTTTTTCAGTGCTACCTATTCGTGAGACAGTAGCACAGTTGTCATTCATTTTGGGCCTGCATAAATAGTTTGACTTCACCCACCCATGAACATATCCGATGGGAAATTCTGATGTGTCCCAGATCACTGCATCTCAGAGATCTTCACTAATTGACTGATCTCTTAATCTTCATTGGGTTTATTTCCAACCTGGAAGGCATGTGTCTTACCAAGATTTCTAATACACTTGCTTCTTCTTGATTATTCTGTCTAGTTAACATGACAGCATCAATATGTTGGATCCATGTCATTTTCTGCAGAATATATATGTGGTGCCAGTTTTTGGATGATTCTCTGATGGGGGATAACAGAGTTAAAATAACTCTGAGGACAAGATAATACATTCACACTGTTGACTGTCTCAAGTGAATGTGAACTGCTCCTGATCTTCCTTTCTGATGAGATTAGAAAAGAATGCACTTACCAGACCAGCGGCCCTATTGAATGCATCTGAGGCTTTATTAAACTGCTCCAGCAAAGACACCAGATCAGGCACAGCAGCTATTAGTGGGGCTACTACTTGTTTGAGCTTTCAATAGTTTATCATCGTCCCCTAGGATCCATGCTTTGCCCAGTTCCCAGACCTGAGCTTCCATCATTCACTTGCGAAAGGTAAAAAGCAAGCATTTCAGTAACTATTAGGTGCACTCCCACCTGCCTCACCAACCTTGGTGCTCATTACAATAATTATTCCCATCCTGCTTCTGTTATTATTTTGGCTCCTCTCCTCCCCATTGCTGTCAGGGAGCACAGTTCCAAGGTCACCACCAGTGACCACTTTAACAATTGCACCAGTACTGCAAGTCCCATGTCATTGGTGCTCCTTTTATCATCCTGAATGGGGTTTTCAATGCCAATTGGACAGCAGAGATCTAGCACCAAAATTCTACTTGTGAGCCTGAACAGATAGGTGGATAGGTAGTTAGAAAGATACCTACTTTCTTTCTTTCCCTCTCTCTCTCTCCACAACTTGGCTTTTTTCACCACCTCCTATTACTCATATCCAAACCACCATAATATCCTACCATGGTCCCTAACGTGCTCATTATCTGAACTCCAGCTCCCTCTCAACACGTCTCTGAACATGCTTCTCCTAGCTCACTGCTCTGCAGCATAAATGCCACCTAAACAGGCAAGTCAGACCTGCCCATCTTATCCTAAAAGCCACTTCTTAGTGCCCTCTACCTCCTTACACTGTTACATTTTCTTTCATAGCACTGTCACTATCTGACATTATACTAGACGTGTATTTATTTATTTGCTATATGTTTATCTCCCACACTAGCTTGTGCTCTGTGTAAGGTGTAACTCTGTGTAAGAGTTTGTTGCATTCCATTCTTTATCCTTAGTGCCCTAAACTGTACCTGCTAGCTACAGTAGGCATCAGTACATGTCTGCCAAAGGAATGAATGAATGGACTTCTTAGTGTCATCGGATATTACATTGATGACCTCTGTTGGACGTATCTGTGGGTTCTGCATGAAGCAATGTGAAAAGCTGCAGACCTCTGTTAAGTTCAGAATTGTCTTCTCTGAGTTAAATTTGGCTTGAATTTTAAGACGAAAGGCAACATTCTGTTTTCCAAGTGGCCCGATTTCCTTTTGCCTTGACATCCATTTTGGAGCACTTATTGTGCTGTGAACTTTGCTGCTACAGAGCCTATTGTTTGCCTTGCACCAACATAGAATCTCTTGGAATTAAAACAAAAGGGATTAAAAGAGATATCGTATCACCCCTTTTTCCACTGTTTCTTTTCAGCTCTTGGCACCTAGCTTCTCACGTACCCTCACGACCGATCTGATCTGGGGCCTGGTAGGCATCTCGGTTTCTCTGTAATCTCCCTGCTGCCCAGCTGGGGGTTAGAGGAAACGAAGAGAGGCGGGCTCACTAAAATTAACTTATTCCTTGTACACCTACTTGGTAGAATTATTTAGTGTGGGATGCGTGAGAATCTTAGCCTTTTTATTGCTTTGAAATGTTTAAGTTATCCAAATTTAAATAATATTTACCTATTTGGATATATATGGCTGAATTGGCAAATCTACGAAAAGGTTACCACCACCCGTGATTCAACATTTATTCAAAATCTTTTCCTTGTGTCTCTATGTAATATCTAGAAGATTCCCTAGGAGATTAATGGATAGGAGAGAAAACACTAATGTTTTATAAGTCATCTTCAGAAATATTTAAGTTTTAAAATTTTGGCTATGTCTAGGTGAACACTTCATTGTATTCATTTTTTTTCTATTTTTGTACATTTGATTAACAATGCTATTTTACTAGAATATAAACTCCTTGAAGACAAGGATTATTTTCTATTTTTTTCACCCTATATCTAAAATATCTAGAGTAGTCCCTGGCATGTATTAAGTACTCGATATATAAATTTCTTGAAAGAATTAAAATCTTACTTTTTTTGCAACTCTGATGTGTCTTTATATCAATGTTTAGTTATACCAAACATAACCCACATAAAATTTTTATTGCTTTTCTTCTCCATGGAGAAATAATCTAACACTTTTTAAAGTATGTTTTTGATTTTAGAAGTTTTCACAAAGTGTCTTGCTTTCTCTACATTTATAAGTTTTTAAGACCTTTGAAGTTTTCATCGTCTGAAAACGTAAGAAAGTTAGAATTTCACATCTTCAGAATGCCTGGTATTGGATTTAGATCTCTCCAAATCATTTGTTTTTCTCCACAATATCTACTGAATTATGTTTTATGTCAAGTATTGTCCTCATTGGACCTTAACAGGTGTCCCCATTGATTTTATACTCTGGTGGGAAAAACAGACATCAAACTAGTGAATTCAGCTGAGCTGAAAGTTGTAAGAATGGTAGCTTTCATTATCATTATCATATTTCATTATCATATGTGCCACGGAGCAAATATTCAATGGAGGTGACCTCCCCGAAGACAGAATACTTAATTTGAAATGTGAAGTTTGAGTTGAAGTTATTTAACTGAAGTCTGGTAGAAAAAAAGCATTCCTGGTACACAAAGTAGCAAGTTCAAAGGTCTCGAGGGGATATAGAACTTGGTAAATTTCCATTTTTAAAAGTAAACCATATGGCTGGAGCACTGAGAGCAAGTAGCAAAGTGATATATGATGAGGCCAGAGAGGTTGGCAAGACCCAGGTGTGGATTCTTGAAGGATATTTGATTTTGAACTTAGAGCTTGATGAGTCTTGTTTTAAACATGATGACATGATCAGACCTGGTTGGAAAACTTGTGCTAGTTGCAGTGTGGAAAATAGGTTTAGGATGCACTTGCAATGCAATTTAGGAAATATTTGAAATGTTTCAGGTGAGAGACAATGGTGACTTGGACTAAGGTGATATTAAAGGTGAACATAGTAATGGATTAAGTAAGGTCACATTAATGTCAGGAGATGATTATTCAGTCTCTGATTCACTTCCACTATCATCTTCTAGAGATGTTAGTTAGCGATTGTCTCCTTTATACAATCCTCTAAAAGAATCTGCCCCTTGTCCTAGCTCTTGGCTAAAGGTCTTGTACCTGGAACAAACATATGTAGCACAACAAATTGAATCAGGTGTGGGAAACTTGACTCAAGGGGAACCAACAGAATCCTGTTGGAAAAATTTGAACCATAAAACCCAGAAATGGCAGAGATGCTGTTGGGTCCTAGATTGCTAAGGGAATGCAGAGATGGTAACAGAGTCGTTGCTGTGACAAACCAGAGCGACATGCATGCTGAAATTGGGGAGGCCCAGAAACCAAAAATTTCCGAGGATCAATGAATTCTGCAGAGAGAAAAATGTAATGGGTTTGCAGAGAGATGAATGTAATAGTTTTAAAGAGAGAAAGAGAAAGATGTCTGTATGGTTCCTGAGAGAAAGAGAGAAGGAGAGGAGACTTAATACTATTTCGGTTTCTAGGAAGCCCGACTGCACTGCCTGCCATTGAATTGAATTCTGTAAGTGACTCCTTATCTTTTTTCTCTCAATAATCTACTTAAAAAATTATTCTAGAGTAAAATTTTGATAACTGAAGCCATTTGGTACCTGTCTCAGATATTTTCATAAAGAAGTTTCTCATTTTTAACTGCTCCATAGGATACAGAATTTTATTGTATACACTGAGCTGCATCTTTCTTCCTGTAACTTAGGTGATTCTTGGGAACCATGCTGAGCAAGGCTAATTCCTCTCAGAGATCACGGTCCATTGCAGATCATGGGGGTGTCTCATCTCCAAGTCTTCTCTTCTCTACACAAAACATTCATAGTTAATTTAATTGCTCCTGATTTGATTTTCAGACCTCTCCCCTCTTCTGTCATACTTATCTGAATATCTTATGATTTGTCAATCCTTTTAGATTAATGAGGCAGAATTAAATGAAATACTTCATATATGATTTGGCAAGCTCAGGACTTGTAGCATAAGGCTGTTGCTATGCTTTGTAACTGCAGTCAACTAAAATCTTTTTTTCAGAAAAATTTCTGTATTTGAGACTTTTTGTAAAACATAAATAAGTTTCTAGAAAAAAATATGAAAAAACGATTGCTTTGGTTGAGAACGCTGTCAACTGGCAACACGGAGATGCACTTTTACAGCATTAGGTTGTCACCAGCTACTCACACCTTAGCTTATATTCTTTCCAGTGGGTCAACTGACATCTCTGTATCAAAATGAGTTGTAAAACACACATTTTTGAGAGAGGGAAGGGGATTCCTGAGCCAGAAACCAGGCAGCAATTCATAGAAGCTGGGTGGCAACTAAGCGTCTAAGTCCACGAGAACACTGGGTGGATCTGGTGGATTTGGAAGCAAGATCAACATACCTAAAGACAGTAAGTGAGAGGTGGAGAGTTTTAAAATGCAATTCAGGTATAGGTAGGCAGTTGTCTGCTAACAAAGCACTCTCCAAGGCTACTTTGAAACAGCTGCATTCTTGAAGAGTCTGGGTGGAGTAAAGGGTATTCAACTTCTACACTTCTGATCATGAGGCATTGCCCATAATCAGTGAGAATGATAAAAATGTAACAAAAATCTTTATAATGACAATGATTGGATATAGATCTATTGGTTTTGCAAATGTTGAAATGGGAAATTAAAACCCTATGACCTTCTGTTGGAACATTTACTTAAATAACCTTGCAAAAATTGATAATGGGAAATAGACCTGTTGGTCTCTGCAGCCAGGCCTGATGAACTGTTATACCACCCTTAGTATATCAGACTGAGTGATACGTTAGTATCCGATCCCAGATCCTTATAGAGAGAGGAGAGTCAATGATCAGTTGTTAAATTTTGTTTTCTTTTGTGTGTGTGTGGGAAACTAAGAGGCAAATGTGAGAAGGCTTTTTCCATAGTTGTAGATGACTTCAGGGGCAGAGCCAGGAATAGACGCTCGTTGTTCATACATACTTCAGTTTCCAGCTACTCCAAGCCCTGCCAACTGCAGACTGATCTGGTGTGTGCTGGCCATCCATCTGCAGTAAGTGAGCATGCGCCACACTTTCTGCAGCCAGGCGTTAGCATCTGCATCTGGGAAAGGTGGCCTCTGCCCGTAGAAGGGCTGCCAGACCCCGACGGAAACTGAAGAAGACATGGGGATCGTCACTCTCCTTCTGGGTCAGATATGCTTATGGGGAGAAGTGCTTTGTCAAAATAAGAAATCAAAGACTTCTTATACCTTCTCATGCCTGTCTTGGAGACACTCTGGAGCTGAAGGTTTCGTTTAGCTTTCATAAGGTTACAATGCTTAATCTCAGTAGGGTTATCATTTCTGTCATGTATTATAAACCCTCCAATCAAGGCAGTGGGAAACAGTGTTTCTATTTAATACCCGGAGAAATGGTGGAAGTCAGCGATTGATACCAACACAATGATGGGAAAAAGTGTCCAGAGGTGCTACTCACATAATCTCATTTTACAACATCTTGAAAATTCAATAGAAAGGACTCCACTAACAATACCATTACACACCACTGATTATTGTTCTCAAATGTTCCTAAAGCTCTAAAAGCATAACCTAACAATAAAAATGCTCTATAAATACATCCCAACAATGTACGTAACCGTATTTTTTTCTTACAAACAAAAGCACACGGTGTTAGTCACAAGTCGTATAACTTCACTTAAGTAATTTCTCAACTAAAAGCACATTATCCTTTCTTAAACATTATATAAATATAAATAAATGAGCTATTCTTTGACATTGGAAAGTACTTCCAAAAATTTAGAAAAGATGGGAAATATTAAACCTTGGGTTAATTACCTACTTAATATGTGACCTTTATTGCGAGATACATTTTGTTTATCACGAGCTCTATGTTATTTGCAAAGATATTTGGAGAAAAAAAGCAAAATTTCCTTGCAAAAAGTGTAAAACTGTGTGTTTTCAAAGTTCCCGCTTTAAATGTTTCAGTAATTCTTGGTTTTATCTTTTGCCGTTAAGACTTTTTTGAATAAATATATTTTTCAAATGGGTTAAAATTGTAGGAAGTTACTGCTATATCCTGTCTAAGAACAAACAAACAGCTGAGAGTCATACATGCAAAATATGCTCCAGCTCTTGAAAAAGGATTTCAAACTAGTTTAGAAAAGTATATTTTGTGTTTCCTGTTTGTGCTCACACCATGGAACAGGGAGAGAGTACCCACCAGTCGATATTACTGAGAAAAAAAAAGGTCAATTATTTCCCTAAGAATATTATACTATTTCATCTGTAATGGAAAGACCTAAAAAATAAGTTTTTACCAATAAATATTTTTGACTCAATAACACTAAAATATCTAACAATGTTAATTTTTTAGTTTAACAAGTTTCAATTTAAATTATTTTAATACTACTGACAACACTGAACTACAAAGTTAAGAATTTTCTTAAGGTGATTTTCCAAACCATGGGAGAAGTCTGTGTCCTTTTAAAAAATTCATATGTACATCAACACTCATTTTCAATGTCATGTGGAGTTCCTTAAATTTGTCAACTTAAAAATGTAATGCAAATTAAAATTTAATAGCAATTTTAAAATGAAATCTACCTATTTTGCTTTTAATAATGTTCTAAAATATTTTCTATTATTACATTGTATTAATTTCTGACATTGAGAAATCTGGTGTGTTATTGAAATGTGTGTCTGGAATATTTTTTCATAGCTCGACTGTCAAGACAAATTTCCAAAACCTATTTTCTACTGTCTGCAATACTACCACCTTACAATTCTTTAGAAAATGATTATTTTAGGTTCTATTCTTAGATGGTAATTTTATGTATTCACTCAGATTTGTTTACGGTTTTTATAAACAATATTTATTGGAGAATGCAAGAAGCACCAGAAGAGAAAGTTTTTAACTCTCTCAAACATAGTAAAATGATCAAACGCTTGGAATAGAAGCAAATTGTAAAAATATGTCTTAACTGAGATGCTTTGCCTTAAGGAACCAAGCCCTTGTGTTTGATGATTCTTCCATAAACCTGAGTTTATTTTTAAAAATCGATCTTTTTAATGTAAGAAAGTTGATGGAGAAAGAATTCCACTTACGAGTTTTTCCACTAGACACTATAAAACTCCATCACAGCACCTTGCATTTTTGGCATCTGCAGTTGAACTCCACAGTTGAGTGTTGCCAGATCTTATTTTGAGAAATGGTGTTATGTCTCTAGGATGCAAATTACCTGGATGAAAATTCAAATCAAAGAGAAAATTCTGCTTGGTCCTAGCTGCTCCATTTGAATTGAATAGTGAGAAGGCCGAAACTTCAATGGCATATGAAGAAAAGTAAGGGGGAAAAGGAAAAGGCTAGAGGACAAAGAGAAAGCAAAGAAAGCTCTAGGTTTGATTTGGAAAGACAGATCCCATTCCAGGCTTCTTAGCACAGTTTCACCCAAGTGGTGTTGCCTTTCCCCCAAATCCAGGGGCAGTTGCTCTACAGTGTAGCCTGTGCATGTTCACCCTTGTTGGAAATATTTACATTAGCTGATTAATTTTTTAATTTTTTCTTTAGACAGCAAGTGATGTTTTAATGCCTTTTTCTTTGCTGAGGAAATTAAGACTGCTACATATTAATAAAGAATATTTTTTTGAAACTAGGTGTTTGGAAATTTGTTTAAAAGATACCAGAATCAAACTTTGATTAACTTGAAAAATGTGGGTAGAAAACTTTTTAGAGAGCTCGATCATCCTTGATGAGTCATAATTTGATGAAAGCTGGTGACTTTTCTGTTTCCAGACACAATTCTTATAATGCAAAATTATTCTTTTCTGTTTTCCATTTTATTTGTAGATTCTGTACCTACCTAAACTCTCATTTTACATTGGTTTATATTAAAACTCTAATGAACAATATATTCACTTTACTGAACAACAGAGTCAATCTGGAAAGTAAAAGCATTCATGGAGAACTCTTTTTACATAAATAAGGGGCTGATGTGGAATTTAGTTTTATATATGCTTTATCTTTCTAAAGACAACAGTTCAAAAGTAGCATTAAAATCAGTAGGAGAAGAGAAGAGTTACAAACTAAGTAATTCTAAATAATTCATGGATGTGCATGGAAATAATGTTTGAAAACTGAAGTCAGAAGCAGCTGCTGGGGGAAAATTTTTTTTTTTTTTAAAGTCACAGTCAACAAGAGTCATATTATTTCAGGTTAGCTCACACCATTGTGTGCATTTACAATGCAACATTTGTATGCCTCCATTGGTTTGGGAAAGAAAATTTAGAAGACTTAAAACACACAAACAGCAAATATAAAGAATCCTTTCTATTTCTCACAGACAGTATGACTCAATAGTAAGACATCGTTCTGCTTGCAGAATCTACTCTAAAACATGATTCTATACTTTTCAAAGTAAATCCAAACCCCGAGTCTTAGGCCAGAGAGCTCCTTATTCACAAAATAAGTACAGAAATAAGACAAGTTATTGTTTTCTGATTTTTCCCTTTGTTTGTTTCTCAAGTGCCCCTTACTCTGACATAGGTTTAGGATAAAGTTCACTGCAGACACTTGACACTAAATGAAAAACCACTCATTACCCAGGTGAGTCATTCACAATTCTAAAACTGAACAATGGGTAGAGGCAAGTTATTTATTATTCATAGTCTCTAGGTTAGAAGTGTGAATGTAGTAACGGAAAAAAGAAAGTAGTCAAAACTAAGGGTGAATATTCAAGCACAACAGCATATTCTTCAAGACCTCATTTGGAAATATGATAACTGATAATTATTTAAGTGGCACCATTCTTCTTCAGTTCATTTAAATGGGTTTTACTCCATCCTCCTTTTCATAGTAAAAACTGTTGTTCTAGCTCCCTGGACTGACATTAAGATAATACTTATATGTATGCTTATTGGACTTGAGCATTAGATAAATCTAAATTACCCTAACATCTCAAATAAAATAATGTATCATTATTAGCTAAATGCTTTATGGAAATAACTCAGTAATACCATAGAACAAACAATACATTCTGGGAAGTAACTTTTAGTTAATACTTTAAGGTTATTTATATTAAATATTTTTCTTGAGTGATGTAATTAATTGGGGGGATAAAAAGCAAGCATTGTTCATCTTTAACATTCAGGAAAGAGCTAGCTTCTTATTTCAGGTAATTCAATAAAAATTTCCAAATTTGTAAGTCAGTCTCTCTTCCTACCAAAGTATATGTTTGACCCTTTTAAACCATGAGGTTGTAAACAGTATATTTTGAGTTTTTTTTAAGTACTGAACAGACTAAAATAATATTGTTGAATGCTAAACGAAATTATTATATTTTAAGTATTATTTCTAGTCAAGGTTTAGAGTTCTTAATCCATATCACTAGTTAATAAGTTAATACTCAAATACTAGTCTTATTTTAGCCTGGATCTATGTTTGTGAAGTATTTAAATCAGAATGAACTCTTTAAGTGCACACCTCAAGTTGCAAGTTTCTTTCCTTTCCTTTTAATGATCAAAGATACTGTTTCCTGCTTTACTTATTATTAGTTCTGATACCCCCAAAACCCTCTGGTCAGTGGATTCAAATCAAAGCCAAACATTTCATCTGGTCTGATCTCCATTAATCCAGGGAGGATTAATCCTGTAAACAACACCAACCCTCTCAGCCCCCTGCAAGCTGTAGTTCACAAACAAAAGCCGAAATATACCACGTGACTTGGTGGTAGCAGCAGGATGACTTGGAGGGGTGTAGCTTGATCCCAACTCCATTAAGTGCTTCACACTTCCATTCTGACCATCTTGTTATTGACTTTTCTGCATCCATTAGCCTATTTGGATGATGTGGGGGTTTTTTGTTTTTGTTTTTAATTTTTCTTTTCACCATGTCCAGATTCTCTGATCTTCCATGTTTTTCAGTCCTGGAGACGTTCGCTCAGCTCTCTCTTTGGCAGTTTATTGAGAAAATGTGAATGAATGCGATCTAGAGATGCTGTTTCTCGTATATTTACTCTCATAGGAGAAAACTCACTGCCATTTGCACATAGGTCAGGAAGAGCAAGGAGGTTTCCCCTCCTTAACTAGCTTTCATGTCTCGGCAGTAGATACCTGGTGCCCTCTGCGAGAAGGTCTCAGTCAGGCTCGAAGAAGTATGCTGTGATCGAGGTGGAGATGTCAACTTTTGTCTGCAAAAGTGAAAAGTCTGCCATCCAGATATAGGTGCAAAGATCACAAATGATCAGCCACACTTTACTAAAAAATTCAAAAATGATTTTGAGTTATTTATATGCTAATTTCAGCTTATCTCTGGCTTGGTCTGAGAAAAAGAAATATGTAAAAATAGACAACCTAAAAATACATATATATATAGAGAGAAAATGAATGTTGCCTTTCCTATTAGCACTTTAATGAATATTGGTTGACAACTGGTGGTGGCTTTAGCTTGGATTCAGCTCTCAGCAGTGAGATTGCAGTTTCTGTAGACAGAAGAGCGGAGGTGAGGGGTAGGGTTACATACGAAAAAAAAAAGAGTTACTCAGTCAAACATTTGGCTTCAAAAAGAATCATCTATTGGCTGAAAACAAATGTGGAAGCATTTCAAGGAAACATCTAAATATTCTAAAAGCTAATTATGACTGGGCACTATTCTGGGAAATTGAAGACTTTTTCAACTTTAATTTTCTGTCTGATTAAGTTCAAATGGGGAAACTATCAATTGTCTTAGTCTCAGAAGTAGACTTACCTACTTTTTTCCCCTAAGGTAAATCGTAAGAAATAATTCAAATATTGTGATTAGATTTCATGGTCTGACTGGCCTTAAACTGCTGCATTTCTTTTTCCTTGGAGGTGTAGTCCCAATAGGTTTATTATTATTGTTATTGTTACTATTTCTATTTTTTAATTGTGTTCATGAGGCAAAGAAGAGGCAGGTCCTTTTCCCATAAAGAAAGATGTGAATTTTGAATTATGTCTTTATAAATTCTCTCACAAGCATTCAGTCACTATTTCTCACCAATAGCATATGTGCAGCCCACAAATGTGTCTGATTATTGGGCATCAATTTCACCCTTACCAAACAAAGTAGTATGACTTTATTATTTACATGATTCTTAAAATATGCAGGCCACTGACCACACAAATAAACATGTGCCTTTGGATCAGTAGAAGGCCTGGTGTTTATGAACAGGGTTCTTTGTATTTTTAACAATATCTGGCACATTTAACCAAAACGCTTTACTGAAACATGGAGCCTGGATAATTGTGTGTTTTGTGATCTATGCTGGGCAGGGGCCCCAACCTCTGCTCTTTAGGCAGACAGGAGTACAAAAATCTGTTATTGCAGTTTGACATTTTCTTTGCCTGATTAGGTCAGTTGGTAAATCTCCACTTTGCAGTTCTTCGAAGCCCAGATTTCCTGTTACAAAGCAATGTGGTTCTGATTATAGCCTTATTGAAGTCCAGACAGAGCATCTACGTTCTGCTAACAGTTCTCCTTCTCATTTTCCATGTTAATGTGAGCAGCTTACTTTCCTCTGCCTGCAATGGCTGGGGAGATGGAGAATCCAAGGGGTCATAGTGGGGTGGGGGGAAGGCAGAGTAAGTATTATCCACATGACCAGTTCCGGTACAAGGCTCTTAAGTTGGAGAAGAGAATGATAATGAATTGAACTCAAAGAGAAAGCGTTTCTCTGGTGTAGAGCTGTGGTTTATCTGGTTTGTGCTTTAATTCTGACTGTTGCCAAGTTCATTTGATGCGACAATTATCACTATCTTTCCAAGGAACTTTGCCAAAGGTTTCTAAATGTAGCATAAAACCCCCCAGTCCTACCCAACATCACATGCTGAATCTGGTCTCTGGCACTGTCTTTGCTCACCTGACTTACGTAGCTTCTTATATAAACTCATGTAAGCGTCTTACATAAGCTTACATAAGCCTATAAGTTCACTTACAAAGCTTCCTAACTCCCCTCCTTCCTTTCATTCTTGCTCTCCCACAATCCATCCTCACAGAGGAGCCTGAATTTTCTCTTAAAAAGGAATGGAAAGAAGATCTTTTCTTTCTCCTGCTAGAATCCTCCGGTGACTTTTCATTGCATGCTGATCAGCATCCAAACTCCTTTGGTGACGTCAAAAACCTGACATAATCTAGGCTGCACTAGATTCCCTGACCTCCGTTCCTACCACTTTCCCCTTGGCTAACTGTATTTTATAACTGATGGCTTTCTTCCTGGCTCTGCCTTGAAAACCTTCAGCTGGCTGTTCCCTCTTTTTCTGCCTCATCGCACTACTGTGACTTCTCAGTCACCCTTTGGGTCTCAGCTGACCCATCATGCCACCAACTCAAACAACTCTTCCCTGGACCACCTGATCTAAAGGATCCTTTGGCGGTTTCTCCTTCAACAACCTAATTTTATTTCCTTCCCAGCACTCATTACTCTCTAATATTGTCAGTTACTTCATTGGCTTACTTGTTTATTTTTTATCTTCCTGTACAGGAATGTGTGCTACCTGATGAAGGAGGGGACTTTATCTTATTCTTAGTGAGCCATTGCCTGGCCTGCTAGACCCTCTTGATACATTTTTGTTGGATGAATAGATGAAAAACCAAATCTTTGAATTTACTTAAGTCCACTAGCCAGAGAAATAGCTTAGAACTGGTCTTAATCTACTACAATGAACTCAGGGCCCATTAATTTTCATTCCCTTGTTTCTACAGTTACCTTAGTTCTTGCCAGAGCCTGACATTCATTAAGTTTCTATTACCCGACATACATTTAGTTTCTATTAGTGCCGAGAGAGAGAGAGAACCCAACACACGCTAGATCCTTCGTGAATGTTAGTGGAATTGGAATCTGATATTTTATTTTAACTAGGTTGAGCAACCTCATACTTGCCGTATAACTTATTAGCTCTACTAAAAAAGCCAAGTTTCCCCCCAAATTAGTGATATCACTTCCACTGTTTTAATGTCAGCAAGGTACATCGCCACAGTTTCTGAAACGCGAAAGCTAAGCAAGTTGAGGAATAAAAATAATAGTTGGAGTTTTTCTGGGAACGTTTTTCAAAGAGATTTTATATATTACCGTATCTGCTCACATAGAATTTCTTTAAGGAAGTGTTCTTACATCCCCTTTTTCAGACAAGATTAATGTTAGGTGACTCACCCAAGCCCAGCGAGCCCGTAGAAAAGGAAGTACTGGTGCTTCTAATCCCCTGCCCCACCCTCCGCCCCACCCGCTTCATCTCCCCTGCCTCTGCCTTCCTGCCCGTTTGCTGTTTGAATGTCTTTGTTTCATTCCCTCTGGATTTTTTTTAAAGTTCAAACTTATTTTCTGGTTTTCAACATATTGTTTAAAAGCATGCACTAACAAAAGGCCTCGGAGTGGGAAGAGAGTGGTGTCTGGGGACTAGGAAAGAAAGGGGGTGGGGAGAGACTGTGGTAAGAATCAGGAGATCCTCTGAAGTTCAAGGAACCTCTTTACCAAAGAGGGCAAAGGTCAGGGCATGCTGAAGTAATTCCTTTTCAAAGGCAGCCAGAAGGAGGACTGGAAATGACTAGTGCATTTACCCATCACCGAGGGCGCTGCTCTCTGCCTTGTGTGGTCCAGACTTCAACGTCCCACTTCTGGGCCATCCCGGGAGCTACACAGATGAGGATGTTTAAAAGCGCTGGCTATCGAACACAATTTGATTGGCAGCTAAAGACATTTTCAGATGTGATGGATAAAACAGAAGCACTTACTTCCTTCTCTGTGTTCACATCACCAGGACACAATTTTTATATTTTTCTAGGAAGGATAAAATACGTTTTTAAGAGGAGCGGAGTTGTAACTGTCCAGTGAGGGTGGCAGAAACGCCTGTTCAGATTTCATAAACGGGGAACCATAAAGTACAAGTGGGCAGTTATTTCAAGGTGATACAAGCCATCCATGGTCAGCTGGGGCAGGGGTTCCGAACTGGCGCACGGGGCTGCCTTGCCTTGCTCCCACCCCCACAGCCCAGCTCGCAGTTTCCGCAGGGAGCAAAATCACAAAACTTTGAAATATGGCTTTTCAGAGGCATCTCATATACTTTTTTCTTGCTTACTTTCTTTTTTTTTTTTTTTCTCTCCCATCTAGAAGGATTCAGTGGTAGGAGGAAAATGGGCCTCAAAAGGCTGAGGAAATGCTGTGAAGAAAAAAGTGAGCAACTGGGAAAAAGGGCCTCTTTCATGTTAAAAAAAAAAAAAACAATAAACCCTGCAAAGTTGTGGGGTCCATAGAGTGCACGGGTTACCCTCCTACCTCCTCTACATCATTCATCCTTTCACGGGCAACGTACTGAGCCTGTTTGCCATCTCACATTGAGGCTAATATTTATCTTGTAGTTTGTTTTGAGGTCTAATCTAGTACTAGGTTTATCCGAGATATTCACTAGCCGATCATTTTAGAAGTCATATAATCTGAACCGGGTTGAAAATGCAGAATGGCGAGTAGCTTATAGGAGGAAACAGTATCCCTTTCTGAGTCTGCAGTCGCTGAGAAGGTAGCATCGTCTTGTGAGAGAGCTTCAGCTACACAGATGCCACATTCAGTAAAAGCCCTTTCAAAAGATACATTTCACTACATTAATGGTAGGTTTAATATGGGCCTGAAAATCAATGAGAATATGATCATATAGAACATCTAGAAAAAATGAAATAGGTTGGATGTCAGGTCACTGGCTTGTTCGTGGGTAAAAGGGGTGAGGAGGATTTATTTTCCTCTTGAGAAGCAATCCCATTTACATTATGAAGAAAATCAACCTTCTGAATATTTGTTTGGCTGTTTAATTTTCATCTAGCTGTATTTGCAACATACAGACACAAGCAGCAGACCGCTTGGTAGCTCGATGTTATGTATTTTTCTTTCATATTACTCTATTCAGAAAATGTTGATAACCACAGATCATAGTTTTTGACTGGTGTCTTCACAGCAAACTTACTATAGGAAGATTGAACTTCAAACTTCTTACAAATTCACGAAACCAACTTTAAAGGTTTTCTAAGAATTTTTTTCCCAATATAGAAGCAGCTTTTTGTGTGTTTACTAATTTTATAAGTAACTTGTATAATTGATGAAAAGCAACAAACGAAAACAAATGTAGACTCTAAAGTTCTATAGAAGAAAGCAAAAGTCATCTATGAGTCCATTACCCACAGATAACTGTTATTCGGTATATATAATCCAGACATTTTTCCAGGTAGTCCCTACATGAAATCATACTTTCCTGTTTTCAATCTTATTTTAACTTAAAATATACCAATGGCCTTCAATGTCAATAAATATATATTTGTAGTATTTTTAGTGATTTGCATATGAGTTCATTTGTCTGGCTATGCTCTGTTTAACCAATTCTCCTTTTGAGACAGTTTAAGTTTTTATTTTTCCAATTCTTTTTACTATTAAAACCTGTCCTTGTCTGATTGTTTCTGTGGGATTAATTCCTAACAATGAAGTTGCTAGGTCAGAGAAAAATTCACATTTTAAAAGTTTTTGATCTGTATTTCCAAACTGCCCTCAGGAAAGTTGTCCCGACAAATGCCCCAGTGTTTGAGTGGCTGTTCTCTCTCATTAACACTGGACATTAGAATGCTTTTAAATCTGTGCTTATCTAGCAATATAAAAGTATCCCACTTTAATTTGCATTCCTTTTTCTACTGCTAAGCATGAACACTTTTCTCATCTGTTTGTTGACAAGCTGAGATTCTACTTTTGTGAATTGTCTGTTTATATCCTTTGTCTACTACTCTTCTACTGGTCATTAATCTTTTTTTTTTTTTTTCAGACTGATTCTTAACAGCGCCTCCTATATTGGGACTACTGCTGGTCATTTTGCAAATTCATGGTTTTTAAATTCATTTAAAAAATTCATGGCATCGAAAATTCCAAGTAAAAAGGGCAAAGTTTGTATGGGCAATGAAGAGCAGGGCACATAAAGAAAAAGAGCATGGACCTTGAGGAAAGATCCAAGGTCTCCCTGGATATTATTTAAAATAGTAGCTAAATTACAACATGAATAGGATTAAGCATAAAAATATATTTCCTTGTAGTTAACATTTTAATGTGTTGGCCATGTTCTAGGAACAAGATGCCAGGATCTTCTTCTGAGGGACTTGGTAAATGAGTTACATACCTTTCGTCCGGCTTGAATAATCCAAAGGGATGGGCCGGATGACTGCTCAAGATGTTCCTCTGCCCAGAGTAATCATTTTCTTCTATTTTCACACTTGAACTTGAGGTTTGTAAAAGCCCTAGCTCATGGCCCTTTTCAGTAAATTTCAACTGATGCTATCTATCTTGTCCTTCCTAAAGGGCTTTAAAAAATTAAGAAATTTTAAATTAAATTTCTAAGTGTAAGAACAAATAGAAATAGGTCTGTCTTTCAATTCTTCCTAATAGCAAAACACATACATAAAGTGTGACTATGAGTCATCTTTCGAAGCTTTAATTTCTTACTGCTCTCTTGTGGCCATTTAAATGAACTGTCCAGATGCTTTTTTTTTTTTTAACAGATCTATTAATATTAATAGGAAAAATTTTTTTCAAGTCAAGTTGTCAAATTTTGTGCAGCAAATTTAGCATCTTTGACATTTGAACATCAAAGCCACAAAATAATTCTTTATTTTATTATGAAGGACTTAACTGCGATGGGTTTGCAAATAGGAAAGGCCAGCCACGTCATGTTTTTTTTTTTTTTAGTAAAACTAACTGAATTGTTATTCATGCATGAAGTCATCAAAAGCTGAAGTTTGAAATAATTCTGGCCTTTCTGAAGTTAAAATAATGCAATTCCCAGCTTGTTCCCTTATTGTGGCTTTGGGAATATCAGTAGGGTCTAAATGTAGTTATCATAATATAAAACAGTTATTTTTTAGGGGAAAAAAATCATTCAAAGGCTGGTTATATGTTAGAGCACAAATAAGATAAAACTAAGAAATAAAATCATTCTGTTCCATTTTGGCCATATAATACTGCTCATGAGTAGACAGGACCCAGGAATTTCAGTCTAAGCAATTTTAAATCAAAATCAATTGAAATGTTTTATTCTCCCAGGCCTGAGTGTCAGTCATGCAAATTATGATGTTGTTTAACAAACCTCTAATTCATTTGACTTCAATTCCTATGACCACATCTATTCAAACATGGCAAATTTTAAGTATAATTAGTAGGTACTCTGTCTTAATTAGCACATATATACATAGTCATTCGAGGGGCTAATTCTGTAAAATGAGGTCCATGCCTCTCCAGGCATTATGCCACAGAGATAGAATTGAACTCAGATTGTCCAGGGTTAAGTTACTATAAACAACATATATTGGAGCTGCATCTCTCAGCAGTCCTGAGAATACAGTAATAACTGCCCTCCCCAGAGACCTAGCCTCATGGAGTTTATAGCCTAATCTATGACACAGACATAAGACATGAAGGAATGTAAAACTACAACCATGATCAATCCTGGGAAGAAAAGAAATATGAGGAGTTTATCTGGTCAGAAGGGTTAGATGAGATTTTCCTGATATTGTAATGATACAGCCAAGCTGTCAAGACGAATAGGAACTGATGAGGCAAAAAGGAGAGAGTAGAAGGACCAGTGTGTGCAAAGGCCCTGCAGTGCAAGAGAACAAGGACCTTTTAATGAAATGAAATAGCGGTCAATGACTTGGTAGTAAGAAAGCAAGAGGAAGTGTGAAAAGATTTAAAGCTGCTGAGATATGGTTTTGTGGTCTCAGTCAAGGAGTTTGTCTTTATTATACAAGTATAAGAAAGACATCAAGATGCTCTAATCAGATAATGATAAGATGGCCTTGTGTTTGAAAAGATCATTCTGCTTAATGTGTGAGGTCAGAGTGATAAGAAGAGGTCACTTTGAGAGCTTTTGCACTGCTCCAGGTGAAAGATAACAGTGGCATAGACGGGGTGGAGGAAAGCCTGAATGAAAGGATATAAGAAGTATAATCCCCAAGGCTTACTGATGGATTGAATATTGGAGGTGAGGGGGAGAGAAGTATTCTGGATGATTCCTTGGTTTCTAGCTTTAGTAACACATTGATTGCTGGTTATATTTACTAAGAAGAATACCAGAATACCAGTTTTGGGGCAAAGATTGGGTTTAAGCTGTAGGTGAGATATAGAAGTGGAGGTATTAAGAAAAAAGGTGGATACATCTGTTAAGAATTCAGAGGAAAAGTCTGTTGTGAAAATATATACGTGCATAAACTTGGTATTCTAATGTGTGACTTTTATGAGATTGTTGAGGGAGGGAGAAATGGCATGAATAATCTACCTTGTAAGTAAAACGTGAAGAATTTTAACATGTATTTGTTAAGTGAAAAAAAGAGAAAGACAGTCTGCAAAGGATAGTGAGAAAAATTATTGGAGAGAATAGATACGCCTGTGAAACCAGGATGCCACAGAGATTAATGGACGATTGGGATTAAGTCCAAAAAAATGGTTACTATGCTGAGCAACTTAGGCAATAATAAATAATAACTGCTAATGTCTGAAGATTTACTGTGCGTCAAAGATTTTCTCAGGGTTTTGCGTATATTAATTCCTTGAATCTCCCACCTGTACTATGGTATAGAAACTGTTATCCCCATTTTATGGATGAAGAAAGTGAAACATAGAGAGGTTAAGTACCTCACTGAGATCACACAAAAAGTAAGTAGAAGAGCTAGCCTTCAAAGCAAGGCAGTCTGACTTCAGAGGTCTCTGTTTTGTTTACCACTAAGTTGTTCTGCCTCTTGACAAGTCAAAGATAGAGAAAAAAAATTGTCTTTGTCTTGAGTGACATGAAGGTCAATCATAACCTTACTACAAATGTTAGGTTTGAATGGAAGGAAAGGGCCAGGCCAACAACCACACGGAGGTGAATCGTAGAGTAGGGGGTGGGAGGAGGTGAAGAAATGGACAGTGCATTTAGACACAGCTGGAAAAGCAGCTGTCCAGATTCATGGCCCTGAGAAATGTAGTTTGAATCAGTCCCAAGATAGAGTCTTGCAAGTAGGACTTTTGGAAGCCAGGCAACTATGGAAGACTCCAAAGACTCAGATCATCTCTAATTGGACATAGGAAGCGGTTCTGAAATGCATCAGGCTCTGAGTTCAGTTTGAGTGAGATAAAATCATTGGGTTACTTCTGATATTAACTTTCTGATTATCTATCACTCCTACTCCCAGACTCAGGCACTTATTACAGTGCTTTATATGTAGCTGGAGAAAGGGGGTTTGCAGGGGAGTCACCCTGGGGTTAGAGGCCTTGGAGTGTTTATCCTGTTCTCCACCAGCTGTGACTTTAGACAAATCCAAATCTCCTGGTTCTTCGCTATAAAAGAGGAAGAAACAGTCCCTTCTCAGTATTGTTGGTAGGATTAAGAATAAAAATGCCTTGTTATCTACACGATCTTATACAAATCTTAGCTGCTAATATAATAAACTGTATTGGAGGAGGGAAGGAAGGAGAGAGACTCTGGTCTGAAAGTTTCATTAGACAAGAAGAAAGATGAGCCTACTGAAAATGTGGGCACACAGTAGGTGTTCAATAACTATTTGTTGGTGGATTAATGGATTGTTTTCCCATTTAAGAAGGGCTAGAAAGAAAAACGTGCATCTGCTGGGGTCAGACAAAGATCACCCTGACCTTTGTTTGAACACCATTCCTGTGAGCGCACTGGCCAACAGAAGGGGAGTTTCACGTTAGCAGTAGTGATAGGACAGGCATTTAACATAAATATTGCTGATTGATTGAACTGGGCATATCATCAACATTGCAGCACAAAGCATTGCGACAAGTGATCCTGGGAGATTTGAGAGGAACAAGTTTGCCAGCCCTCCAGCCGGCAGACATTTCCTGAAGAGTCGCACTGCAGTGCCCCCGATGGACTGCCCACCAGTGCCAATTAAATGTAGTTGGCAGTTAAACTTTCAGGGTGGCAGAAAATGATCTTTAGGACAGCTTCGGATTCACTGGGGGCGTAGTCATTTCTACAGAGCTACATTTTCACTCAGAATTTAAACAAGAGGTGGAAGATGAAAGACAGCCAATTGATGTCTGCATGGACTAGAGATTTTTCCTCTGGAGCAAGTATGAGAATGTTAAAATTTTTAGAAAGGGTGAGACTTTCGGCTATTTCAGCCATCACACAGTGTCCTCTGAAAGTTTTTCTTCAAGTATTTTAAAATATCATTTTTTT